AAAAAAAAATAATTGTGAGGATCCTCAGAGAATTCTGCCATCATCACAGTAATCATCACCTATCAAGTACCTGTGCTTCGAGAGACGAAGTGTGGCATCATCAATAAGGAATGAGAACTAAAACAGCAAACATCAAACGAGCTGCAAAAAGAAATGTACCGATCAGAGTTAATGACACATTGGACAATAATAGTCAGCAAATATAATTTGTAATATATATTATACAAGAAGAGGTCTGGCACATTAGTTGCAGGGCATTTTGCTTATCATAGAAAAACATATGTCAAGATACAGGATACGGCATGGCCTTGCTAGCATTTATTCAGTATACGAATCAATTTAAGTAAAAACTTAAAGGTGATACCTTCTATAGTTTTCAGGCCATTCCATTCAGCAGGTTCTCGCATTGTGGTAGCACTTTCAGCCTTCATATATTTGTTGAAGGTTCATATTTACACCAGCATCTCCACTTATAGTACTGCTGTATAATGGATCCAAAAATAAAAATACACCGAGTAAACATCTAGGGATTAAAAAAAGATCACCTTTCCTAGATACAGTATAACTTGAAGTTTTCGCAATATCATCACCAACATTCCATAGGACCTCGAAAAGAGCCTGGAAAGAGAACATCACATCAACTCCATCCAACCACTCCACCCACATAAAAAGAAAAAAATAAAAAAAAAAATAAAAAAAAATGAAGAGAATGGAAGAAAGTGAAGCGAATTGCTGCAGGCCTGAAGCAAAATACCGAGTATGAGAACAACGAACAAATGATGAAATGAAACAAATTTTGCTTTGAGGGCATTCAGAAGTACCGAAAGCTCAAGGAACGACTCGTGTAAAAAAATATAACATATTTCAGTTGAAGAGTTGGAAAGTTTCTCAATCACAAAATAAACTATGAAGGTAAGAGTCAGAATTTCACGTTGCATAAATCAAGAAATCGATATTTGCTCCAAAATCAACTTGCTACTGCTGGGGCTAAATATTATATAGTCGAATTGTACAAAAAATAACAAACAATGTCAGATTCCTCACTGTCTGAAAATGTAGCAAAGCATTTAAGATACAGATAAAATACATAAACCACGGACAGAAAATGGCCACTGAATAGGCTGCCTTGTGGCTTAGAGTTCACAGGCTACGGATAATACATCTTCCAGCATGTTACTTCCACGGTAAATCAGACCAAAATTGTGCTCTATAGATTATATATTTTCCGTGAGATGGAAAAAGGAAAGTTGTTGATTCATCAATTTCTCGCAAGAGAAAGAAGCTGGCACATCTCTTTCTGTTGAATTCCTCACTTGATCTGCGCTTTCTGCATAGCCATAATAAATCGCACTTTACCTCCAAAAGGACATAAGAAAATGATAAATAGAAAAAGGAAAAGCAAGTGTCGTGTAACTTATTGTGGATGTTCCCAGATTAGATTTTGTAAGCTCACTATTGTGATTTGACCACACACATTAGCATGCTTATCAGAACTCATATGTTTCAGTTCGGCTTTGAGATATGTCATTTATTGGATGGGGTGGAAAGTATAACATGTCCATGCAAACTAATGACCAACATCGCAGAAGAAAGAAATATAAAGCAGAATACAAGCAAAGCTTTCAACGGTGAACATATAATGTTCATATTCTATGCAATCAGTAAAAAAAAAAAACAAAACAAAAAAGAAAAAAAGAAAATCTCTAATACAAATGGAGCACAAAGGACCACTGTCACTTAGATCACACATTTCACCACAGATGTTCAGACATAAAGCAACAGTCTCAAACAAGCTGCGACTGTCATTCCTCAATAATCTACACGAGACATGAGTAGTGTTTCATCTATCAATTCAATTAATAAGCGGATCATATTTCTAGTGCAAGGCTCAAAGGTTCTATTATAATTTATAGCTATTAATTTAAAAAGAGATCACTTAGAGCTTTGACATAGAGAAGGGCTCATATTTAAAACTCAAGTCCGAAAATGTTATTTTCCAACAAGTCAAAAGAAATTTGTTAGAGGCAGTATCAACAGATTCCAGGCCATATGTTGATAGAAGTTTGATGTCCCAGTCCTTCAAAGTTAGCATAGCCCAAATGAAGGACCAGATGAGGGTCAATTCTATCCATTCCTTTGATGGCCTGAATATTTTTCCTTTCCAAATGAGCTTTCATATAATGATGAGTCAATCAGATAGGTTGTTATTCAATACTAGCAGCAAACAAGTCAAATCGTCAGTAGGTTTTGAATCTAAAGCTTCAAGCAGCCACCAAAAAGGAGGAAAGGAAAATATTATGCTAAGTTGTCTTGAATGTGTTCTGAAATTACAAGAAAAACTATGAAACACTCTTATTATTACCAGCATTTTCTTAACACTTCAGCAGATGCAAATTTGAAGACTCTTCAGTGCTCACCATAATCCATCGCTTCCTTATCTTTTACCATCTGGACATAGGCTCTGACTATCTGCTGGTCCAACTCATAATAATGCTTCATTTTCTTCAGTGGTTTCATGTCCAGGTCGATGAATGATGCCTAATGTATAATGTAAAGAGTGTAATTATCATAACAGCAATTAAACATCACACAAATAATCCAAAATATACTCTTGATATTATTGAAATCCCCAGTGTTTAATTTTTTACCAATTTATCAAGTAGTTCTGTAACTTTAGGAATGCTTCAGAATTAGCCTGGTTCATTTACCAATTTTCATTGTCCTAAAAGTAACACAATTTTAGTCGTACAATGGTCGAAACTCTTTATTTAGCCTGTAAATATTATTACTGCACAATGGGAATTTCTTGTGTTTGAGCTTTTGTTCTTTCCAGTAAAGAATCGCCAAAACCCTCCTACCTGCAAACTTGGAATATTATCTGAAATTTAATAGTATTTGAACCAAACTGGACCAGAAAAAGCAACTTCTATTCACACAATAAGTGCCAAATAATCCAAATTTAAGAGTCTGAACTAAAAAAACTGTAACAGTTACTAATTACATAAAACCAAAGAACAATAAATACGTAGCTCCCAAATGCCCGAACACACAATTGTTAGGGTAACATTTCAGATAGAAGCTGGGCAATTTCAAGTCTTACAAGACATCATTAAAATTTAAACTGACCATGACTAGTTTTGACACACCCCCAAAGTTGTGGATAATTTTCCAAGAATTCTAGACACGAGTTTTTCCAAGTAACTATACCAAAACAATACAGATGTCTGATGGTAAAATTTTGTATTCCAAAATCAGAGTAAAACTACACCTTAAGTACACAAAGCCAAAAAAAAAAAAAAAAAAAAAA